GCCGGGTAAATCCCTTCCCAGTCACCAGGGAGAGGGAGGGGCAGAGGAGGGAGGTGGCAGCAGATCAGGTCAGTAGAACGGGGGGGGGTCAGCGCTGCCCGTGGGGAGCTGGTATGGCGCCCGCTGCACTTCACAGCCATTTCATCCGACCGCCGTGCCTGTGGGGTGTCACTGCTCCGGCGTCACTCGGGGGCTGTCACTCGGAGGGCTAGTGTGAGTGGGGTGTCACTACCAATCTCATTCTGGGGGGTGTTGCTCTCAGGGTGCCATGCTGTCAGGCCTTCCCGCTGAGCTCCAACTGGCAAGGACAGTGCCAGCAACCCCAGCACCACCTGGGTCCTTGCCTGCCCTGCAGGGGTCAGGAACGATGGGCCACGCTGACAGGGGAGACCCTCCGGAGCATGGCCCGAGAGACCAACGGGGGATCCAGAAACTGAGCAGTGGCACCGATGAGGGACCGAAGCTTGGGTAGGAAGTAGCCCAGGGAACAACCATAAGGGCCACATGTTTCGGCTGCTAGTCACAGGGTCCTGGGCTGGAACCCGGTGAGGCAGAGAGGGCACAGGTTCCCCTACCCCTGGCCACTGGCTCTTGCCACTGGGTGGTGCTGCTAGGTTCAGACTTCAACCCCCCAACGTCCCCCCAGAGAGATGCTGTAACGGTGACACCCCTTTCACAATCACCCCCCCCGAGAGACACCCCAGAACCACCCCACAGAGTGATGCTGTAACGGTGACACCCCTTTCAGTGACACCCCAGAACCACCCCCCAGAGTGATGCTGTAACGGTGACACCCATTTCACAATCACCCCCCTGAGTGACACCCCAGAACCACCCCCCAGAGTGATGCTGTAACGGTGACACCCGTTTCACAATCACCCCCCCGAGTGACACCCCAGAACCACCCCTCAGAGTGATGCTGTAACAGTGACACCCCTTTCACAATCACCCCCCTCAGTGACACCCCAGAACCACCCCTCAGAGTGATGCTGTAACAGTGACACCCCTTTCACAATCACCCCCCTCAGTGACACCCCAGAACCACCCCTCAGAGTGATGCTGTAACAGTGACACCCCTTTCACAATCACCCCCCTGAGTGACACCCCAGAACCACCCCTCAGAGTGATGCTGTAACGGTGACACCCCTTTCACAATCACCCCCCTCAGTGACACCCCAGAACCACCCCTCAGAGTGATGCTGTAACGGTGACACCCCTTTCACAATCACCCCCGAGTGACACCCCAGAACCACCCCCAGAGTGATGCTGTAACAGTGACACCCCTTTCACAATCACCCCCCTTTCCCCCCCCCGAGTGACACCCCAGAACCACCCCTCCAGAGTGATGCTGTAACGGTGACACCCCTTTCACAATCACCCCCCCGAGTGACACCCCAGAACCACCCCCCAGAGTGATGCTGTAACAGTGACACCCCTTTCACAATCACCCCCCTCAGTGACACCCCAGAACCACCCCCAGAGTGATGCTGTAACGGTGACACCCCTTTCACAATCACCCCTCTCAGTGACACCCCAGAACCACCTACCTCAGAGCAACACCATAAATGACACTGTTGCAGTGACCTTCCCTCCAAGTGACGCTTTGAGGACAGCACTGATCACTCCAGAGCCTGGCACCCTCCAAGTCAGAGGTGGGCAAACTACGGCCCGCGGCCAGACCCTCCTGCCCGGCCCCTGAGCTCCTGGCCTGGGAGGCTAGTCCTGGCGCCTCCCCTGCTGTCCCCCGTCCCCTGCAGCCTCCGCTCGCCGGGCCACCAGCGCTCTGGCCTGTCGCTCCTGCCGGGCAGCGTGGGCAGCGTGGGCGGCGTGGCTGGCTCCGGGGCTGCGAGCTCCTGCTGCTCTGAGTGGCATGGTAAGGGGGCGGGGAGAGGGGGCGGGGTTGGATAAGGGGCAGGGGATCCCGGGGGCAGTCAGCAGACAGGGAGCAGGGAGGGTTGGATAGGGGGTGGGGTCCCGGGGGGCAGTTAGGGGTGGAGGGTCCCAGGAGGAGGCGATCAGGGAACAAGGAGCAGGAGGGGTTGGATGGGTGGGGGGTTCTGAGAGGGGCAGTCAGGGGGTGGGAAGTGGGAGGGGGTGGATTGGGGGCAGGGGCCAGGCTTTTTGGCGAGGCACAGCCTTCCCTACCCGGCCCTCCATACAGTTTCGCAACCCTGATGTGGCCCTGGGGCCAAAAAGCTTGCCCACCCCTGCTCTAAACCTTTGTCAAACCCGGCGCTCACACAGGCTCCCCCTGGGAACTGCACCGGCGGACATGTGGGGGAATAAGGGGGTGTCTGAGAATGGGGAGAGGCTCAGGGCCAGGTTTTCAAAAGAGTTGGGTGGATCCTGGGGAATGAACATTTGAAAATCTGGCCCCTGGGGTGTTGTAGGAAGGGGTGTGCGTGTGTGTGTGTGTTTGTGTGTGGGTGACCGAGAGAGATATCTGCGTGTGTGTGAGTCTGTGTGAGTTTATGTAGGGCTGTGTGCTGTGGGGTGTGGACATGGATGAGTGTGTGTGGAAGTGTGGGACATTGTACGCATGTCTCTTTGTGTGCTCTATGGGTGGTATGAGAGATTGTGTTTGCGTTTGTGTGCACCTCTGAGTGTATGCGGCTGTCTGTGCATTGTGGAGTGTGTCTGTAGTTGAAGGTGAGTGTTGTGGGGATATGTGTGTAGGAGCTTGTTTGTGCTGTGTGTGTCTGCATTTCTGTGTGAGTGAATGCATGTGTCTGCGTTGTGGGGGGATGGTGTAAATGGGGGGTGTCTGCGTTGTGGAGGTGTGGATGAGATAGTGAGAGTGTGTGTTTAGTTTTGTGAGGGGGTACTTATGTATGTGTGGCTTGTGCTTGTGTGCTGTGTGCGAGTGTGAGCTGTGTGTGTGTACCTGTCATAAAAGGGTGTGAGGAGGTTTATTCTGCTGTACAACAGCCTCTGTTGCACTCACTTGCCCCTGCCCTTCTCCCCTCCCCAGGCTGGCTGAGGAGAGGATGGGGGTGGCATTGGGGTGTCCCGCCCCAGGCCAATCGGCTCCCCAAATTCTCTGCATCAAAGGCACAATCCACCTGGAAGGGCTGATCTACTCCTCACTGCCTGGAGCTCTTGTCCCTCCTTGCCCAGAGCACCATGCTAGGACACAGCCTTTAATGGGCCTGCAAAGACATCATCCCCATTTCCCACCTCAGGTGGGGAGGGCTCCATGCATGCAGAGCTCCATGGACTTCTCGCAGCCCAGAACGACAGGGCTCCCAGCCCTGGGCTGAGATGGCAGCTCAGTATCTCTGTCTCTAGCCTGGCCCTGCTTTGCTCACAGAACACCCAGCCTTGCTGAAGTTATTGTCTCCCCTTGTGCCCCCAGCGGTTGCTCCCATTCAGAAGCGACGCAACGCAGGTATTTCTTTGGCACACAACCCTGTTTACTTACAAAGAATGGCCCCGGTGCGGTGTCCTTGAACACGGCCGGCCACAGCTGTAGTATAAGGCTCGATAGCATTCATCACCCTGTATTTTTTGACCGGTTTCCACGTCCCATTTAGGGCTTATGTCCCACCCTCTGTCCTCGTCTCCATTGGTGTCCAGGTTTGGTGCTGTCGGCCATTTTGAAAAATTATTTTTGATTATTTTTATGTTTGAATAGGGGAAATGCTGCGTGCTTGTGCTTTGATACATTTGGTTGCTTGTTTAGAGAAAAAGGTTGAAAGAATAGACTGAGAGAGCTTAAAGATTAAAAAAAGAAAGCTTTGGTAAGGTTCAGAGGAAAAAAGGAAAGAAAGGCTGTTTGGTTTAGTAAGGAGAGATGATTTTAAAGGCCTACTTTGGCATTTCATTAAAGAATAGAAGGAGAACTTAAGGAAAAATAAAGATTTTTGTTTTTAAAGGGTTAGTTTGAAAGAATAGAGGCAAGTTATTAAAGAAAAGAAATTTTTGGTGAGGTTTAGTAAGGAGCGGTGTTTTTAAAGGTCTGGTTTGGCATGTTATTAAATAATACATTTTTTGTGATAAATGTAAAAGGTGTATTAAATATAAGGGTAGGTTAAGAGAAGAGCAGTTAAAAAGAGTTAAATAAAAGAGAAACATATAAAGTAAACTGTTTAGTAAGGACATGCTAAAAATATAAAGGTTGGTTAAGAAAGAAATATTCAAAATGTTAAATATAAGGGTAGGTTAAGAAAAAAGCATTTAAAAACATTAAATGATATTGAAAAATAGGTTAAAAAATAGGTTTTGACACATGGCAAAAAAAGGGCATTTACTAAAGCAGAGACTGTTTAGTAAGTACATGGTATAAAGGGAGGTTAATAGAAAAGCATTTAAACTATTAAATACAAGGATAGGTTAAGAAAAGAGCATTTTAAAAGAGTTAAATAAAAGAGAACCGTATAACGTCTCTTCATGAGAGGCTTGACTGCCAGTGCTGGCCAGGGCCTTCTAGATGCAGCCGTAGGCGCTGACTTCCCCGCTTACCCGTGGGTGTTCGACCCCCACCTCGGCCTCTGCCCCTGCCCCCACTCCACCCTTCCATGAGGCCTGGCCCATGTCCCACCCCCATTTCAACCCCTTCCCCAAAGTCCCCACCCCAACTCCGCCCCCTCTCTGCCCCTATTCCAACCCCTTCCCCAAATCCCCACCCCGGCCCCACCTCTTCCCCGCCTCCTTCCCTGAGCGTGACGCGTTCCCGCTCCTCCCTCTCCCTCCCGGAGCGTGCTAACGCCACCAAGCAGCTGTTAAGCAGCGGCCGGGCGGGAAGCGCTGGGAGGTAGGCAGAGGAGCAGGGACGCGGCGCGCTCAGGGGAGGAGGCAGAGGAGGAGGTGGGGTGGGGAGTGAGGGGAGCTTGGCTGCCAGTGGGTGCAGAGCATTTCCCCTTGGGTGCTCCAGCCCTGGAGCACCCATGGAGTCGCTGCCTATGGGTGCAGCCATCTTTAATCATCAGACCCATTTAAGTAGAAGCTCCTCCTTACTTAGGGAGGGAGAGCAACGTCAGCTGTAAACTACTGGCTAAGAATATCGTGTGGCCTGGATAAAGTAAGGAGGAGCTTTGTGAAGAAACAAACACACTGTTGTGGCAAACCATGTTTGAGATGGGTCATGGGAGCAGGGAAACAGGGATAACTAATGATGCCTGTACCCGCAAGAACGACGTGGTGGAGAAACAAGTGGCCAGATCGCTGGGCCAAGATTTGTCTGAGACTCTGGACCCCGGCCAGGGGAACGCAAATGATTCAAACAAAGGGCTGTACGGGACGAGGCACAGGTACGTTATATGTAAGAACATTCAAGGGATGGTTTGGCAGGGACCCAGTCACCGGTGCTCGGTTGGCTGGAGCCTTTTGGATCAAGCCCGCACAGAGATATATTGCATTTGTTGTTTGTTATTTTTAAAAGCTGCATGCGGCAGGGGTCTCTTGACACACGGTATAAAAGGTTTTAAAATCATGTTATGAAAAAAGTACAAAGATGCCTTACATGTATTTCTTACTGTAAATTTTTCAGCAGCTGCATGATGGTTCTTCAGAGGACTTGGAGGTTCTGGACACCAACAGCTCCGAAGGGCTGAGAGGATTGGGCCTGTCTGTTTTTGCCCAGATCCAAAACCAGATGCTCAACAGAATGATGAGTGAGCTGTAGCTCACGAAAGCTTATGCTCAAATAAATTGGTTAGTCTCTAAGGTGCCACAAGTCCTCCTTTTCTTTTTGCGGATACAGACTAACACGGCTGCTACTCTGAAACCAACAGAATGCTGAAACAGAGGGGGATGCTTATTCTATAGGCCTGTACAATCTAAAGTTGAGGGAGAAATTCAGTATTAAGCCTGTGCCAGTTCATAACCATAAAACCGTGATGTGTACAATTATGCGAGCAGCTGTGCACGGAATCACCAAGTGCAGCCTGAGAGAGAAACAAAATGAGGATTGCCCTGGGTGCTCCATAGATGTCCCCGGTCAGAGGCATCACGCCTGCGTGTCCTGGTCTTTAGATGATGTGAACTGTAAAATTAAAGAAATTAGCAGTAGTTTGTGTCTGGAGAGTGTGTTATAAACATCATCATCACTTTGGGATACACACTGCAGGGCATCTGTTTAACCCAGGAACATTTAGCTCTAGGGGCAGAATTGGTGGACAAAGTGACAGAGGCCAAGGACCCAAATAGCGTTTTAGATGAAAACATCAAACCGACAGATAAATGTTTAATGCAAAATGTTGAACGTCTTCTTCGTTCAGCAAATTACAAAATCTTGCTAAGAAAAAACACTAGAAGTTAGAGCGCGATTTGGGAACAAAACAGGGTGTGCTGTAAAATAAAATGCCAGTTGAAAAGAACTGTGTGAAGTGTGTGTTTATGGAGTTCAAGAGGTGTGGGGTTTGTCAAAAGGGCAGTAGGTTGCCCCATAGTATATGTGCAGTTAGGTTACAGTTTGTCAATAACAACAAGAGGTATATGAGCTGCCTGATCCTCTAAGAAAGGCCCACCAGCCCCACTCAGCCCTGGTGCTTGTGCGCAAGAGATATCGGCTGTTGGGGCATCTGGACCATTGCAAAGCAGCCCCAGAACCCCTTTTAAAATCATGCCATCTTCCGCTTTGGCTGGACCTTTTCATCCCCCCCCACCCCCAGGCCCTCTGCATTAGGACTTAATCGTGACCCCTCTGATTTCAATAATGTCTCAGGTCTCTCGTCTACCGTTTTACATTATTTAATGCTGTACAGCGTCTAGGGTTACAGTTTGCATAGAAGTGTTTTATAAAAATAAAACAAAAATATTCTCTAGGGGCTTAGACAAGATAACGATAAACAAAATTGTAATTGTTGCTTTGCAGGCTCTGCTACAAAGTAGCTTTAAGTTTGTTTTGGTTAATATTTCTGACAGGCCATAGGTCGGGGGAGATAAAACCTCATAAAGTGGGAAAGTGCTTCCGAGTGACAAACGCTTGCCCATGCTAAAGCCTAACAACTAACACAGAATGGCTGCCTACAAACTGTTTCACAAAAAGAGTTATCAGCATTCACCCTAAAACTCAGGACAGCTTTCTTACGCCCATGGCCTGATCTCTGTGACTGTGGCTTTCCTTAAAAATTTGTTTGTGCTCAGTTTAGATTTTAAAAAACATTAGAAAAGAAGAAAGGGGGTGGGGGGAAGTAGGAAGATGGGGGGGGCAGACTCCTTATCTCTGGTAAAAAAAAAAAAAAAGCTGTTAACTTCTTTTACATAAGCTAATTTTTTCTTGTGTTTTTTGTAGAAATCCAAACTTTAAAAAACAGCCTTGTTAATTTTTTTGTTAATTAAAACACATATGTAAACTCCCCTCAATTGCCAGTTTTCATATTCTTACCCAGTTGCTGTTTTGGTACTTTAAAAACACTATTTTGAAAAGGATAGGCTCGTATCTTAAGCCTTTTTAGGTCACTAAACTTCTGCAAAATATCCTAAGAGTGGCTTTGCTTTGTTACAGCTCGGTTAATACTGCCTTTCCATGTTAAACTTTTAAAACAAACAAACAAACCTAATGCTTCAGATAGGCCTCACTGCACACAGAATATCCTTAAAAAAGGTCATGTTATGTTACATCGCAGTCAATACTGTATTTTCATGTTAAAAGTTAAAAAAACCTTTATATAATGAAACACAGCATGTTTCGCAAGTGTTAAAAGTCTGGGGGAAAAGTCAAGGGGTGCAGAGTCCTGCACTTAGGACGGAAGAATCAAATGCACTGCTACAGACTAGGGACCGAATGGCTTGGCGGCAGTTCTGCAGAAAAGGACCTAGGGGTTACAGTGGACGAGAAGCTGGATATGAGTCAGCAGTGTGCCCTTGTTGCCAAGAAGGCAAACGGCATTTTGGTCTGTATAAGTAGGGGCATTGCCAGCAGATCGAGGGACGTGATTGTTCCCCTTTATTCGACATTGGTGAGGCCTCATCTGGAGTCCTGTGTCCAGTTTTGTGCCCCACACTACAAGAAAGGTGGAAAAATTGGAAAACATCCAGCGGAGGGCAACAAAAATGATTAGGGGACTGGAACACATGACTTATGAGGAGTGGCTGAGGGAACTGGGATTATTTAGTCTGCAGAAGAGAAGAATGAGGGGGGATTTGATAGCTGCTTTCAACTACCTGAAAGGGGGTTCCAAAGAGGATGGCTCTAGACTGTTCTCAGTGGTAGCAGATGACAGAACAAGGAGTAATGATCTCAAGTTGCAGTGGGGGAGGTTTAGATTGGATATTAGGAAAAACTTTTTCACGAGGAGGGTGGTGAAGCACTGGAATGGGTTACCTAGAGAAGTGGTGGAATCTCCTTCCTTAGAGGTTTTTAAGGTCAGGCTTGACAAAGCCCTGGCTGGGATGATTTAGTTGGGGTTGGTCCTGCTTTGAGCAGGGGGTTGGACTAGATGACCTCCTGAGGTCCCTTCCAACCCTGATATTCTATGATTCCATGATTCTATGTTCTTCAGATAGGCTATCTCTGAGCTTCATGCAGTCACAAAGCAACAGTTTTTGTCTTTTACAATCATTAAATGGAATAAAATACTTGTTATAACTTTCACAAAGTGTCTTTTAATGCAATCTCACCATTTGTTAAAACTTCAACAGCATTAAAAAATTTAGGAAAGAAGTCTGTGTGAAAAAACTGAAGGGGTGACCCCCAGACCATTGCTAAGGCAGACTATAGTGCATGGATCACTGGCTAGCCTAATTAGTCTTATCTGTTTTTAAAATGTAGAGAAAGCCAGAGCTCCAAGCTGTGATGTATTATTTTAATAAAATCTATGGTCCCAAAACAAACACAGGGACTTGTACGTGTGTCTCAGCATACGGGATGCAAACATTTAAAAACAGTCTTTCTGATAATGCAAAAGAATAATTCATACTTAAATCTACAAGGCCTAAGGAAATGAAAGCTTAGTATAACTTTTGCATGGATTTGTTAAAAAGTGGGGAGGAAAATAAACTTCTCTTTGTTCCACTGGATTACAGAATAAGGGGAATATAAACTAGCTGGTACTAAGGTTCTGTGCTTGTCACTCCGCGGTGTTTCCGCATGCTCTTTCTTTTTTTTTAATTGAAACACACATAAAAATGTTAAATAAAGGGATCTATCTTCATATGGGCTTGTCTTTTAAAGTGTTCATTCCTTTACAAAACATCATAGGACTTTCACTTGTATTTGTTAAAAAGTGGGGGAAGAAGCAATCTTCTCTCTGATCCACTGGCTCACAGACACTGCTTTTGCTGCAGCTTCAAATTGTCCTCACTAAAAGCATAGGGAAAAGCTTTTAAAAACTTTTTCTTAGTAAGGTTTTGCGGGTTTAACCCTGGGTTGTTCCTGCATGCTCATTTTTTATTAAAACACATCCAGAAGTGCTAAATAAAGGGCTATTTCTTCATATAGGTTTGTCTTTTCAAGGGATGATTCCTTTACAAAATGTAATATAATTTTCACTTGTATTTGTTGAAAAGCAGGTGAAGAAGCAGCCTTCTTCTCTCTGATCCACTGACTCACAGACGCTGTTTTTGCTAACAGTGACTTTGCTGAAACGCCTGCTGCTTCAGATTGCTCTTACTAAACAATTACCAACGTTAGTCTAAAACATAGGGGAAAAAATTCTTATCACTATAATTTACTTTTATAAACAGGTTCTCTGTGTTTTTAACCCTGGGATGTTTCTGCATGCTAACTTTTTATTAAAACATATGCAAAAGTGCTACATGAAGGGATGTTTCTTCATATAGGTTTGTCTTTTCAAGTGTTTATTCCTTTACAAAACTTAATATAACTTTCACCTCTGTTTGTTAAAAAGTGAGGGAAGAAGCAGCCTTCTGATCTCTGATCCACTGACTCACAGATGCTGTTTTTGCTGACAGCTTCAAATTGTCCTCACTAAAAAAGAACCAGTGTTAGTCTAAAACATAGGGGAAAACTTTTAAAAATTGTTTGTTACTAAGGGCTTATGGTTTTAACCTTTATTAAAGCACCTATGTAAAAGGGCTACATGGCAGGAAAGATGCTTGGGGTCTGTTTTTTTAGATAAGAATAAGGGAGTTAAGGGTGGGGTAGGGAGGGGAGGGAGATGGCTCGTGTTTAAAAACCTTGGGACTATAGCAGGGGTGGGCAAACTTTTTGGCCCGAGGGCCACATCTGGTTGGGGAAATTGCATGCAGGGCCATGAATGTAGGGCTGGGGCAGGGGGTTAAAGTGTGGAAGGGAGTGTGGGGTGTGGTAGGGGGTGCAGCGTGCAGGAAGGAGCTCAGGGCAAGGGGTTGGGGAAGAGGATGGGTACGGGGAGTACGAGGGGGCTCAGGCAAGGGGGTTGGGGTGCAGGAGGGGGTACACAGTGTGGGAGGGGCTCAGGACAGTGGTGCAGGGAAGGGTCCGGAGTGCAGGAAAGAGGCTCAGGGCAAGGGGTTGGAGTGCAGGAGAGATGTGGGGTGTGGCAGGGGGTTGGGGTACAGGCAGGGGGTTCAGAGCAGGAAGTTGGGGTTGGGGTGCAGGAAGGGTTTGGGGAGCGGGTTTCGGCTATGATACCCTCCCGGCGCCGCTTACCTGGAGTGGCTCTGGGGTGGCAGCGGCGTGCACCGGGGCCAGGGCAGGCTCCCTGCCCACCTGCCCTGTCTGCGGCCCTGCGCTGCTCCTCTCCGGGAAGCAGCCGGCACCATGTCCCTGCAGCCCCTGGGGCGGGGAGCAGGGCAGAGGGCTGAGCATGCTGCCCTTCCTGTGGGTATCTCCCCCAAAGCTTTTCCCTGTTCCCTGTTCCCTTGCTCTCCCCTTGGCTTTCTGTGTCCTGCTTTGTTTGCTTCAGCCACAGACACACACACCTGGGTCCAAATGATACCCAGCCTCCTGTGTTTGCATTCAGCCACTTTGCCCACAGAACTCAGCTGCTAACCGGCTTTGCCTGGGGCCTCTGTTTTGGGTGGTGGCTCCTATTGTTTCGGGTCTCTTACTCCAGAAAGGAGCTTAATTGTTTCCTACATTTATCCTGAGGAAGAGTGGCTGTGACTCCTGCCCACCAGTTTCAACCAGGTTTCACCCAACCTCCTCCATAACACTCCTAAAGAGGGACGCATCACGGTCCCCAGTGTATAAACCTGGGTTCCCTGCCACTGACACACCGTGTGGCCTGAGTTAGTCACTTCTCTGCGTGCCTCAAGCACCCCATCTGTAAAATGCGGGAGAAGAATTCTACGTGAGCGACGAGGAACACTGGTGTTATCTGCGTAGCTCTGCAGGGCTCTCGGGCGAGGTCTGGCCCATGACTGTGGGGGTGCCAGGGGGTCTCACCTGCACTGCAGGGGCTCAGGCTGGAATGCTGCTTGTGTCACTTGA